AAATAAATATATGTTTTACAAATAGTTCCAATAGGTTACTTTGCAATGAATTCACACTCATTTCTTTCAATAAGTCTATAAAAAAGAGCTCTTTGGTCCCCCCAAGGTTTAAGACATGGTTATGACTTTTTTACAACATCATAACACCATCCCTATAATTTAAGTGCGGTATTCCCCATTTTAAAGGGACAGACCCAAATTAAAGTCATTGTTGCCTTGAAAACCAAAAGCTCTAAAAAATGGTGGGTGTTGTTTTATGGAAAAGAGCAGCATTAAGGTGCTGTTTTCACTTTGTGTCTCTTTCTCGTTCCAGGTATCGTTCTCGCAGACATCATCGAGAAGTACTTCGTCTCGCCAACGCTCTTCCGCGTCATCCGCTTGGCTCGAATCGGACGGATCCTTCGGCTCATCCGCAGTGCGAAAGGAATCCGGACGCTGCTCTTCGCTTTAATGATGTCTCTCCCGGCGTTGTTCAACATCGGCCTGCTGCTGTTCCTCGTCATGTTCATCTACGCCATCTTCGGCATGGCCAACTTCGCCTACGTCAAGAAGCAAAGCGGCATCGACGACATGTTCAACTTCGAAACGTTCGGAAACAGCATGCTCTGCCTCTTCCAGATCACAACGTCGGCCGGATGGGACAATCTACTCAGTCCAATCCTCAACAACTCTCCGGAAGAGTGCGACCCGGATGTTCCTCACACCGGGACGAACGTTCGCGGAAACTGCGGGAATCCTTCGGTGGGCATCACGTTCTTCGTGACCTACATTATTATTTCGTTTCTCATCGTGGTGAACATGTACATCGCGATTATATTGGAGAACTTCAGCGTGGCCACCGAGGAGAGCACGGAGCCGCTGAGCGAGGACGACTTCGAGATGTTTTACGAAGTCTGGGAGAAGTTCGATCCGGAGGCGATGCAGTTCATCGAATACTCCAAACTCTCGGATTTCGCAGACTCGCTTTCCGAGCCGCTGCGCATCACTAAACCCAACAAAATCAAACTGATTTCCATGGACCTTCCGATGGTGAGCGGCGACAAGATCCATTGTTTGGATATCCTCTTCGCGTTCACCAAACGCGTTCTTGGAGAGTCGGACGAAATGGACGCGTTGAAGCAACAAATGGAGGAGAAGTTCATGATGGAGAACCCGTCCAAGATCTCCTACGAACCGATCACGACGACGCTTCGGCGCAAGCAAGAGGACGTTTCCGCCGCTATGATCCAGCGCTCGTATCGGAGGCATCTAATGCGGCGCCAGCTGAAACAAGCCTCGCTGCTTTACCGTCAACTCCACATGCCAGACTCCGCCAAAGACGGCGACAGTTCGCCGGAGAACGAAGGACTTATAGTTGCGATGATCATGGAGAACTACGGCGCCGATGTCGAAGTTACGGAAACGCTCTCGGCTACTTCGTGTCCGCCATCCTACGACAGCGTCACGCGAGCGACTAGCGAGCTTTTTCACGCTCTAATCCCGGAGGCCGCGAACACGGACCTCAGCGAGCCTTTGACAGACCGAGATCGCGAGACGTTTCTGTGACGACGGACGTCTTTTCCTTTTGTTTACCGAATGTACCATAGACACAAAATCCTGTGGTTGTGCATCGGAGGTTTTTGTAAACTCTTATTTCTCTTGTGGTTCACGTTTGATTCAAAGGGGAAAGTGTCACACTGAACATGCACACCTTCACAGTTTGAATGCATGAATGAGATCCGTAGTCGCAGTTATAGAGGATGCAATCATCATATATTAGTCAGAAAGCAATGCATTTTAATCAAAGCGTCAGCCTGACCGTAAGTTCATTAGAGGTCTTATTTAAAAAGGCGTGATTCCTTTTAAGATTTGAGATAATGCATTTAGTGGTGCATCCATGTAAATGTTATCCTACTTCACGCCGTTTTGGAAAGCATGACGATTACCTCTTTCTTTAGCGATGAAACGGCAGTGGTTTAGCCTGAGTATTTGCACTTTCTGTTTTTTTTGTTGCCATTTTTTTCTGATGTTTCACTCAATGCCGTCACAAGGTGCAGATATCGAGACTAGTAAAAGACAATCAGACATGCACCAGAAATGGTCACTCGCTTAAAACCTGTCTTTACTAACTTCTAGCGAACTATTGCACATGCTTCCTTTCGAACGCGCCACACATTTGTTTCTATGGTGAAGTATTTATTTTGCATGTGGAAACTGCATGGTATGGAGGGGTTAACGAGAACACTTTCTTTTTTCAGCTGAGAATAATTGTTTTGCACACTATACATTCAGCAATAATCTGCTACATTTAGGAATATCATTAATGATACTTATTGGAATTGAAAACGTGTCAAAGTTTCTACTGTAACGGCCTCCAGCTGTAACTGTGGCTTATACGACTAGTGAAGATTATAGCACACGTGTTTTTCTATCTCAAACTGACTTTAGGAGTTCAGTCCGCTTGAACGCGGGTTGGCAGGTTTGGTGAAGGGCTGTTTTATGTAGCAATAGATCCCAAGTGTGCCTGCTAGAACTTAATCCTGTTTATAATTCATCTTTCTTCATGCATTTGTTTTGGTTTTTGTAAATCATCCGCAGACTCACCATAAATAGCATCAAACGCAAACCGTGCCATTGGCATGTTTATAAGAATTTACTTCACATTTTTGCTTATGGTGGTTTCTATCAAGAAATCCCAGTAAAAAGTACTAATTCGTAGAGATTAGTGAAAAATACGTGTCCCTGGAGCACAAAAGCAGTGTTAAGTC